GTGACTTTTGGAGGAAGTCTCGTACGAAACGCTCCTTTTGGAGACTTGACGCGTGACTTTTGGAGGAAGTCTCGTACGAAGCGCTTGTTTTGCAGGCTTGACGCGTGACTTTTGGAGGAAGTTTCGTACAAAACGCTTGTTTTGCAGACTTCACCTGTGAGTTTTTGAGGAAGTCTCGGTCTCATGTGAAACGTTTGTTTCGGAGACTTGACGAATGAGGTTTGGAACAAGTCTCGCGCGAAACACCCGTTTTGGAGACTTGACGTGTGACTCTTGGAGGAAGTCTCATACGAAGCGCTTCTTGCAGACTTGAAGTACAACAGTGTCCGACCAGGGTGTCCTTCGAGAGTGTCCCACAAGAGTGGCAAACAAGAGTGTCCCACAAGACTGTCCTACAAGAGTGTCCCACAAGAGTCTCCCACAAGAGTGTCTCAAAGCAATGTCGTGCAAGAGTGTCCTACAAGAGTGCCCCACAAAAGTGTCCCACAAAAGTGTCCCGCAAGAGTGCAAGGATGTCCCACAAGAGTGTTCTACACAAAAGTGACATACAAGTCGTACAAGAGTGTCCCACACGAGTGTCCTACAAGGGTGTCCCACAAGAGTGTTTCAAAAGAATGTCCAACAAGAGTGTCCTACTACAAGAGTGTTCTACGAGAGTGTCCCACAAGAGTGTCCTACAAGAGTGCCCCACAAGAGTGTCCTACAAGAGTGCCCAACAGAGAGTCTCGCAAGAGTGAGTGTCATACAAGAGTGTCCCACAAGAGTGACAAACAAGAGTCTCCCACAAAGGCTTCTGAAAAGAACGCGTCCTACAGGAGTGTCCCACAAGAGTGATGTTTCCTAGAAGAGTGTCAAAAATTGGTTGGGTGTTTTTTTCGAGTACGTGTTTGCATTCGCGTTCTTGGGTTCCATCTTGTTTGTTTCTTTGGGGGTTTGCACCACAGATTATTCTCAATGTGATGTGTCTGGCGTCCTTGTGCACTTCTGACGAACTGTTGCGACGGATCTTTTCCAACTCATTCAGCAACGATTACAGTAGTTTACTTGACCTTCCCTCAAGCAAGCCAAGGCTCAAATTGGCTCGAACAAAACACAAATCAATCCACATTCAATTAATTCAGCAATGTTCATCCAAATTCGCTGAACACCAGCCGCACCCGTGAACATACGGAGATGGCGATTCACCAATGTTTTTCCTGCTTCGTAAACAAAACCATTTGAGACTGTTTTTTGATCCGGACATGTCCCCTTGGGACAACTGACAAAGCACTGTTACAGGCTATTGACGATTCATTTCAATTTTGTGGCGTTTGTGCGTTCCAACACGCTAGTCTCCGTGACAGTGTGCTACATCTTTGGCTCCACACGTTAGTTCATGGCAAACCCCAAAAAAATCCGAAGACCGGTACCTCTACAATCTGTAGCCTTCTCTTGGGTTTATCTCGAGATCAACTAACCTCCAACTTGCTTGGACAATTGCAGCTGATCCTGGGACAACCTTTCTACAATGCCGCTGCTGTACCATGCGGATTCTTGTTCTTTTTTGAAGAAACACAAGGCACCTCATTGAACCTGCTCTGGGAACTCGAACTCCATAAAGATTCCATTTTGTCCGATTTTGCTTCAGCCCTACAGAGATGCTATTCAGAGAGGTACATACCCAAAGTCGTCGTTTCGCTTTGAGCAACTAACCAAACCGACCCTAACCGGCCATGCCACAGCCATCCTGTCGTCCTGTGCATCTAGCCCATCTCATCAAACCTATGGATTGGGTGGATATTTTCAGAGGTCTTTGGTGCCCAGCATCCAGTTTTGTGAAGCCTGACCCGAAGCTCAACCAAGAGAGAGAGAGAGTCGTTGGATTGTTCGTTGTTCTGTGTTCTTGTCGATTTCCTTCATGTTTTGCAGGTTGAAGAATAGCTTTCAGCCTGTATGCGGTGTTGCCGTGTGAGTACGTGTCAGCAGATTCTCCCATGAACTAAGTGCGCAAAAGGCTTGAATTGCTCCATGTGACGATGGTTCGCCAGTACACCTGTACCGATGCAGCAGTTTGGCTTTGGAGATCCGGTCGGTGTGGTCGGGGTAGTTGCGCTGGTTCATGTATGCGGCCCGTGACGTGCATGTGGAATGTTGTTGCTTCTTGCTACGGTTTTTGCCATGGGCCTTGGCAGAAGCCTTGATTACCACGACCTTCAACTGGTGCCTGACAATATGTCTCAGCTTGTGTTTACCAGCACCAATTACGGTGACCCTTGGCGGTCGATTCAAGGAGTTTTGCTATTTGGGGGTTTGCACACCTCCAAGCTCAACATGTTGCAATGTTATGGTTTTGCTCGGTGTCGGCTGTCAGGAAGTGGACTTTGACTGCGATGGAGCCCCTTCGGTGACGTCTGCGGCACAGTGCTTCGGACCACCTTGGGGAAATTGTCCAAAGGGAACTAGATGCTTCATGAAAGACAGTGCCACCACAGGGGAGATTTATGCCGCATGCTGCTGCAATATGACAACAACTCCTGTTCTCATGGTCGAGCAACAGCATTGGTCGTGCTTTGCAAAGTCCGTGAAACCGCCTGGGCAGCAATTGGCGCCATTCTGTCAAATCAAGTGCTGTGAGAGGCATGGTTGCTCCTTCGTGTGTGGGTAGCCCGGTGTTGTAGGATGGTTATCTCGTTCATAGAAACAGGTGTTCTTTCAAACTGACCGTCTTGACTCTCCACAAAACCAATCTTCAACTAGAAGGGGGCCTCAAACACTCCACCACAAGCCACCCAAGGATGGCCCTTGAGTTTTTGAACGATCTTGAGCAAATCCATTCAGCCTGACACATGGAGTTGAACCGCTCAGACCCCTGTCTGTGTATTTCGCATCGAGGCCTTTCACTGCCCGCGCCTGCTACGGTGGGCCACCCATTTGTTGCAACCCCGAGGTGCGGGCCTTCTGGCAGTTCATTGCAAGAGTTGACCTGACTGTCGCGGTCCAATTAGGAAGTCCATTTCGCGGGCCAGTGTGGGACGGTCAAGCATTACCCTCTTTATTGATTCTCTTTGGAGGGAAGAAATTCGACCGTGTGAGGTGACGTAAGTGTCTTGCCAGATTCTGCAGGGTTGTCAATTTGGGACCTGGTCTGAAACACTGGGACCCAAAATCTCCAAGTGAGACATCGATTGTAGAGTGAAAACGAACCTGGGCAATTCCAGTGCTCTGCCCTTGCGGGTGCGATTCTGAGAAATGCTGAGGAGGTCTGCGGAATTACGCTCGAGAGCCAGCCTTGCTGTGCGGCATATCATAAAGAGGTGACGCTCTTACCAACACAGGACAGGTGAGGTGAAGGAGAGTTTTTGCAAAAGGGCGCCATGGAAGGGATGAGAGGTTTATTTTGATCAAACGACCGTGTTGATGTGTTTATTTCCAACTGCCAGCTCTTGTCATGAGTTAGGTTGGGGCCAATTGTTGCAGAGAGCAGGGCAGCACTTGCTGGGACAGCCCCACGCCATGGCTAGTGGAGCCTAAGCTGCAGAGATGGGTGGTTCGTGATGTCAGCGTACGTATGAGCGACCGGCCCACAACGAGGTTCCGTTTCTCAAGGGAAAGCCCTGCTGCGTGGAGGATCGACCAGAGGTGCTTTGCGTCTCAGAGCAGAGTTGCAACGCAGAGTTGCAACCAGGGCTTTGGCACGGCACTGGGCGGGTGCATCGCTCTAGTCCTGCTTGCTGCTGCACTGCAAACTTCGTTCTACTTGAACATTAGCGGGATGGAGTATTTTTCTGGCAGGTGCCGTTGGCGCCTCAAGATGCTCTTTGCCCCAGTGCTTATGATTCTTGGGCTTCACATGGTTGTCTACTTCAGCTTTCAGGACATTTGGCAACACTTAACTTCCAGTCAAGCTGGCACATTATGGTTTTGGTGGATGTACTGGAGCTTGGCGGCCATGCAAGTGGCATTTTGCAACCAGCTTAGTTCCAAAGCACTCATTTGTGCCACTTTAGAAAATTCTCCTCGCAAAAAAGCGCAGCTTGCTCATGGTTGTTGGTCCAGGGTGGAAGGCTTGCGCCTCCTTTTGCAAGTCATGTCTCCTGCGCTGTTCTTAACTTCCTTTGCGCTGAAATCAGGTATCTTTGTCAGGGTGTCGAATTGCTGCTGCCCACGTTCACGCAATCCTCGTGCTGCTTCCCAACAGAGTAGAAGTAGCGGCTTGCGCATTGCTGTGCCGATCAACATCCAGGATGGGCAGAAACAAAGAGGGCGGACAGATGTTTGAGCATAGCATGTCATAGCCTCAAGATTTTCTCTAGGGATATCCTGAAGAGGCTTTCGAAACAGCAAGATTGTCTTCTTGATTTGCAGATTTTTCAGGCCTATTGGTTCTTGGATGAAGTGTACGATCGAAACTTGCAAGAGCTGGCCAATAAACTTCAAGCGGGTGGTTGGGAGGCGCCTGAACATGATCGCAGCTCAGATTATACCCGTTCTGCGAAAAATCATGACTTGCAGAGCTAGGCCACCCTCCGAATCGTCGTTCCATTCACTGAAAAGGTTGTCCGCCATGTTGTTTGCAGAGCTGCGCAAATAGCAAAGCATTATTTGACTTGCCTCTTTTTGCGTTGTTTACCCACTGTTGCCAACGCATGCAATACGTTGTGTCGGTAGCGGAGCCCTATGTGGCTGTCTCCACACATGATGATAATTACAATGCCATTTGCCAACAGGAGTCTAGTGCACGCAGAGGAACAAATCACAGCTTGGACCTCAGGCCTCTCTGGCTGAGTTAGACAATGACTCTTCATCAAGTTGGCATTGGGCATTGCAAGAGCGGCAATCGTTGGAGGGCAAAGATCGAGGCCGACAGTTTCGGAAGCCAGATGGCTTTGTTTGAAGTGTGGCATTGCTGAGTATTATAGCCTTGGCGAGCTGCTTGTGCTGTGCAATGTTGGAGAACTCCACTCGTGTGACACAGACTGGGGCATGGGCGTATTTTACTGCAGGTGGGCCGGTGATGCTGAAGGAAGACCCTCCGCAAGCAGAATTGCCAAAGGCCCCGAAGCTGATCCAGACAGCCGAAGCCCAAACAAGAATAGCAAGAAAACATCGAATGCAGTCGCATCACCTTTGCATGCAGTGACTGAAAACCAGCAGCTGGTGATTGGGAAAGACCCAGCCCTCTTGACGATCCGCTCAGTGGCAATGAGTTTGACTGTGGATGAAGGCCCCAAGAGCCGGATGCTCGCCCAGTCAGCATCCTTGTCAGCCACCTGTCACTTCTGGAGGAAGTCCCACGCAAGACGCTCCTGGTGGTTTCTCAAGCCAGTGCCCTTTCTTATGTCTTTTTGACCTTCTCGTGGCGCTGCAAAAAAAAAGACCTGTTTCTGAGGATTTTCATCCAAAAAAAGGGAAAAGGTTTCGCTCAAGCAGAGAGCACGGGCATAGCAGAATCGCCGGCAGGCGCATGCAAAATTTTAAAGGCGCATGTGAGATTTCGTCCAAAAGTGATGCGTGGAGTGAAGCGGATGAAACGCAGGCCTGCAGCAAGTCCATCGCTACAAAAATTATGCGGCAACCAGTCAGTGCATACTGCAATGGATGCTCCGGTGCGTTTACTATAATTGTGTGGATCGACGTGTCCACCACGTACCATGCTAAAGCTATGGGATATGGCGGATATGGGGATTACGTTCTCGCGACACTTGACAGGTCAAGCGATTTTGAGAACACCATCCATATCGAGCCCACAAGAAAAGGAACAGTGCAAGAGCGAAGGCAGGCAGCGCCAGACGTGTTGTGACCGGCGTGGTTGGTGAAGATTTTGGCCCAGGCATTGATGGCGAGGGAGAGAATGATGCTGATGAGCTGTAAATGTGGAAGTGTTGACCGACCGATGCAGGCTATTGCTTGCAGCGTCTCCTTTTGTGATGCCGCAACAGCTCCACTGAAAGGAGATGGTTGCTGCCCCGGCGCACCTTCAAAGGACAAGCCAGACAGCCAAAGGAAAAGCTGACGGCTTTCACGGCGGGAGCGGTGAAAATTTTGCTAACGCCTTGAAAGGGAATAGCTTGGAACGTTCGGCGCGTTCCTCAGTCCACCGTCCGGCGGAGGTCAGTTGGGCAAGCGCCTTCATGACGCCAAGATCTTCTGGCAAATAATCAGCTGCCAAACGAGGAAGGGAGGAAGGAAGGAAGAAAGGCGGTTGCCACACCGTCAAGCCAACTAAGACACTTGATTCGGGTTGAAAGCAAGCTGGCGTCCCGCTGCCTCTTGGTATCTTCAACAATTCAACAAAATTTGGACTATAGTGGGAGACGCGCTGAAGTAGAAACTCTTTGCGATGGAGAGGGATTTGGTGGATTGTGCCAACAGCTTTGTCAGGACGGCCACCTTTTTTGTTGGGGAGAGTGTTAATGCGCAGAAGTCCTGAGTTTGACGCATCCCGGATGGCCAAGAATACCCCGACATTTGCGATGCAGGTGCGCGCGCTGAATCTGGTCGGCGTTTATTAGTACCAAGCAAGCGACATCGCTCGATATACAAGTCGCCACGAATCCTCTCCAACTTGCAGAAGCGCAAGCTTGGCGAATGTGCCTTCGGTCACGCCCTCTTCAAAGGACCGCGACCCGAAGCGCAGAAGTGGAACCCTGCCCGCTTTGGGAGGAAAGACGCTCAAGAGACCCGCTGTCAAGCCAAGCGCAAGGAAGCTTGGCGGTCCATTCGTACTGAATCGGAGCAGCGCTTCGCAAGCACACCTGTACGAATCAAGTGTTCCATGGCCTTTGGAGGAAGTGCAAGTGTCCGGCTTTCAAGTTGCACTTCACCGCTCACCCATCCTGAATGTGGCACATGGAAGTATTTGCCTTGACGCTGCAGACTTTTCCAACAACACCTCACAAGCCGAGTTCGTGTTGGACTTGATTCCTATTTGGCAACGCCTGTAAAGAAGACGAGATGTCGAGCTGCGACGTCCACAATTTTTTTTGCAGATGTGAGCGCAGTTTGCGCCGCGGCAAGGCTCGGAAGCAACGACGAAACATTCTTGAAACTTCACTGCGAAAGCCGCAGGCCCACATTCGCAAGGTGGAAGAAACAAATATTAGGTGAAAGTTCACGACGTGCATAGCTGAGCCACCTTCCGCATTGCCGCACCTTTCATGCCAAACTGGCCACAAAACCACTCATGTTATTGGCTGAGAAGGACGTTTGCCATGTTTTTTCGCTCAGCAGCGCAAATCGGTAAGTATACCTTTGTCGCATTGGCCTTTTCAGTGTACCAACTGTTGCTTACGCATGCAGTACGTTGTGGTTCATGCTTCTCTTTACCTCGTGGTTGATCCAATGATTGATTGGTCGCCAAATTTGTTAGTGTTATAAGTTATTAGCTGCTACAGGGACTGGCGCGTGTGTTTCTTCTTTGTGTAGTTCAGCCTGCGTACTCTGTAGTCCATAGTGTTGTAGCGCTGGCTTCTGTGGTTTGAAGACTTGCAGGTGCTGAATGGCTGGAATGACTTAAAGAAGGACCACATCAGCGTTTTGCTAGAAATTCTTGAAAAGAGACTTCGAGGAGCTTGGCGGCCAACGATATTGCTGTATATATCGTGCCATTCCCGAATGGTGTTTGGCTGTCCCCAGTTTCTGCCAGTAGATGCTGGCAGGTGGGGTGATGGAGTGTCCATCTTCAGCCTCGTGAGGAGGCTGAGTGACGTTGTTGGATGCGGGGAAGCGCGTATTCACGTGATGCTGAATGGTTGCATGGAGATTCCCGGCCCTCTTGAGCGATTCATTTGGTGCTTGAGGTATAGCCACAGTCAGGAGGACTTTCGCCTGTCCAGTCGTCGACGTCTTCTGCCGAACAGCGAGGCGCAAGCGTGGATGCTTTTTGCCTGTCATCCCGGACGCTCTGTGCCAGGACTCTTGATTCTTGACACTTCTTAAAGTGGTGCGCGGCCAATTGAGACCAGATTAAGAACGACTGAACCTGTCCTGCAAAGCATTTGTTTTTTGACCTTGACATATGACATAGGAGATATCGAGAGAGGAGGAATTTTTACGCGGAAGATCTTGAATGTCTTGGGGAACAGACTCGGGCCTGATGAGTCTCGACTTGAGCGACATTATGACGAGCTCATGAGCACCTTGCGCCTTCGCCAGGCCAGCGGTTTCAGTTTTTCCACCCTAGCATTTTTTGCGCTCGTGGTTTGTCGTTTAAACGAATTCACACAGGAATTTGGGGAGATCGTGAGAGGTTTTGGCTTTATTCAGGATGGTGTGAACGTTCACGCCTTTTTGATCTCGACCGGCCATGCGAACAACGCCAACCAGATAGATGTGCAATGTGAGGACGGCCGCGCGGCGCCGTTGGAGGAGTGCTTTGGCAAATCGCGGGAGAGACAGATCACGGGAGAGACAGGCAGCAGTTCTGCTGCGAAATTAACATCTCTGAGTTGTGTCAACCTGTACCCAAACGGCTTTGGGTTCTCAATGCTTCTGAGATGAACATTTGCTTTGCCTCCCTCTGCCTCCCATGGGTGCTGGGCTGAGACGATTTTGCTTGCCTCACCTTGTCTACCTGTGTCGCGACTGTCTCCCAAGACTCTTCTGGATGCTGCCTTCCTTTGTCTTTCCTTGTCTCCTTTGTCTCCATGGCTGTTCTGGGCTGAGACGGTTTTGCTTTGTGGCCCTTTGTCGTCATGGCCCTTCTGGATGCTTGGCTGAGATGATTCTGCTTTGTCTCCCTTTGTCTCCCACGGCTTTTCATAGATGTTCAAGCCAAATCCTTCAATCTTTGGAATAGGGAATGACCCGGCGTGTCTGTTATGCTTTTGGTTCACTGGGGTTGGGGACTACAACTGCAAACTAGGTGGGCAAAACAACATTAAGCTGCCGCTGCTGTTTGGGATGATGTTGGTTTTTCTTTTTCAAGGCTGAAGGGTGGGCGCTTCCCATGAAAGTAGATCCGCTGTGGCAAGCCGTTTCCGTGCGCCTCGCCAGACAAAGCCTTAGGCCGTTCCGTGACATCTAAAGAATCGGAGTTTTTTTGTTTTGAATCGGCAGTGGTTGGCCGGCCCAGCAGAGTTGAAGGCTTGCGAGGGAATTGCCTTGGAAACCTTGTGTGACCTTTCACCCCTAAGTATAGTCCCAGCTGGCCAACGAACAGATGTCCAAGAAATCATGCGCGATCTGGTACAGTCAACGCGACATAGATAGGTGCTCTACACACTTGAGACTACATCTTCAGGCCCTTCTGATGCCTTTGCTGAGGCCCCATACTCATCGTGCGACGCCAAGCAGCGCTGCCGATCGTCGGCTCCTGTCCAGTGTTAGCTTTAGTAGGCCGGTTGTGACGAAAGCGCTGTCCCAAGGAGGTTTGCCGAAGTTCTGGTTCATGGGGGAGGTTAGAATTAGACTTCATTGTTTCCAGGGGCCGAATTGATATATTTGTATATACACATGTGTGAACATGTTTCGTTTCAATGTAGATCACAGCCTATGTGCACAGCATCACTTACGTCGCAGAATGTACCTGCAGCCCTTTTTGTGTCAAGGAAAAAATAAATTGTGTGATTGTGTCAGAAAGACATTGGTGTGCAGGACAAACGGACGAAATGAGACAAATCCGTACTGCTATAGCACAGAGTACGCAAGCAACAACATCAGTAGCTGAGGCAGTGAGAAAAAGAGCCGTTCATGACAAATAACTGGGCCAGTCATGCCTTCAGTGTCTGCGAGGAGCTGCGCAGCCGGTAGGAACTGCACGGTTCTGCGCGCTGGGAAGCATATTGAAGTCATTGGCACTGAGACCTGCGTCCGGTGTTGCTTGAAGCTGGTCTTCAAGCATGCTCAAGCCCATATCAGGCGACGCGAATCGCAACTCATTCAGCAAGCAGTTCTCAAAGCGCATCTCAGGCAAATTAGAGACCGGAGTCAGTTCGACTGGGTACTCTTAAACCAACACAAGGCAACCTCCATGTGGAGACCAACCTGCTTGCGGAACAAATCGAGCAGGGAGGCCTCGTCAATGCACACAATGAATTCCGGATTGGAGCGATCTTGGTACATGTGCCACCATCGCATAGAGGACTCATGGCCCATGAATGCTTGCGCGGCTTTTCCTGAGCCAAGGAATGTCCACAGACGGCTTGCCCCCATAGAAGATGCGGATGAGCCCCTTCTTGGCCACGTCCATGTCAACCTGGATGTAGGCAGCCAAAGCTGAACGCCACGCTTTGTAGTTTGCGCAGAAGAGTTGAAGCGCGGGATAGTCGCCAGCGGTCCACAAAGTCAACCTCTGCAGGTGCCAGCGAAGGAGTCAAGGACGGCAACACGGAGCATCAATCTCCACAAGAACACAATCTCGAGCCAGGAGCCGTCCATAGCCTGGTGCAAGGTAGTGCGGTAGTACTCGACCGCAATCTGTGACAAATCACCAGACCTTTCACCACACCGATCATGCCTGTTGATGTAAGAAGCCTCCATAAGGTCCTGACGACTGTCTTGGCGCTGTAGAGCATAGGCCCGCAGCTGTGCCAGAAGACGCTCTCAATCAAGGAAGCCACAGTGGCGCGCGTGGGGGTTGATGTCCTGGATCAAGCGGTCACAGGCGAGCAGTTCACGGAATGCTTTATCTTCCCAATGTTGTTGAAGATGGCGTAGATCAAAGGGATTACCCCATAATGGCCAGGCGCCGAAGACCTTCTCACCACCGTGCGACTGCGTGATGTCAGAAAGCTGGGCAGCGCTGCGATGAAGTTCTGCACTTTTGTTCTACGCCCTTTGCTAGAGGAAATGGTTCCCAGCAGGTCGTCCACTTTCTGCAAGAGATACTCTTTGATCACAGGCTTCACGGGGGTCTTCAAGCTTCTCATGGACTCGCTGCACGACTTGTTGCATAGTTTGCTTTTAGGAGGACTTGTAGATGATCCTGACGACTGGGACGCCAGCAGTCAGTGTCTCTCTCTCAGAGTGCACGGAGCGGAGATCATCTGCAGACAGTCCGCGATGGGGTTCTCCTGAAAAAACGGGAGGCGCCACAATCTCCCGAAGTCAGAGGATGACTGAGGAACGGTACAAGCACCTTGCGGGATGAGTGAGTAGATGCCATTGGAGTTGCGCATCCTGAGGCAGACGATGCGCCTTCTGATTTGTTGACAACTCTTTGTCAGGTCGCGAGCTTCCTCGATTGTGGGGATATTCTCGTAATTGAGCTCTTGGACTTCATAGAATCTTTAAATCTACGTTTGCAGGTGAGCCCGCTTCCACAAATCTGCGATGAACCGATCGTGATGGTCCATCTCCTGGATCCGGATATTCCTGGGCAGGACGGCGTGGAAAGTACAAGAAATTAGAAGATTTCCAACAGAGCTTGACGGTGTTGAGTACTTGTCGGATAGTCTATACAAGGTTCTGCAACCTCTCTCAGTACCCGGAAAAGCTGTAAGCAGCTAAGGTACCCTTTTTTCCAAGCAAAGTGGCCCGACTTGCGAAATTCTTGTCGGTCCAGGAAGAGACTGCAGTCGAGGGTACTGGAGTGATGCTCGCCTAGAAGTCCTCGTTCCAAGTATGCCTCCATGCCCTTGCCGTCCCCGCCCTTCCCGATTTCGATCAGCATCTTCGAGGTCGAGACTTTCTGGACGGCAGCGTGCAAGCTAGACAGTTTGATCTGGAAGACATGTTCGTTCTGGAAATAATATAGAGATTCCAAGAAGAGTCGAAGTTGGTTCTTGTAGCGGACAATGTCAAGGCCGTTGTCCGAGGCTGCGAGACTCTCGTACTGATAGGGATAAGGAACGGAATAACAGTTGTTGCTTGGGTTCTTAGGACACACCGACCAATCACCGTGCAGGTACACGTCTGTGAAGCATACACCCTGTGAGCGAGGCAACGGAGTATCCCAGTGGACCAGGGAAAGCTTCGAGATGCTGTGCGCCCTGTCATTGTCCCACTGAACTCGGAAATTCACCAGCATATCTGCGACTCGCCTGAGCCAACAAGCTTGCCAGGCCTTATTGCCAGTAGATTTCTGGAGGACGGTCGCTTGAGTCTTTGGCTTTCTGTGACAGGGCTGGTGGGTAGTCTGCCTGAGGATCTTGCAGGAGAAGGCTCACGTGCTGTTCAATGTCCGCCCATTTCCATGAGAGCTCTGCCTTTCTCAGCAATAGAAAGGAATAGGCCTCCCAGGGCAAGGAATATGTCCCAGACCTCGATCCGTATTCCAGGCGCTGTCCTCCAACATGATGAGCAAGAGCTTTTGTTTATTGGGCATCGTGTAGTTCGAATCATTCATGTTCGCAATGTACTTGGTCATGTCGAAGAGTGTGCGAGTATCTTGGCGATGGGTCGGGTACGTCCGTGCGCTCCAAGCCTTCAGGCCGTCCCACTCCATCGGTATGTCACTCTTGTTCGACGTTGGAGCACGAGGCAGGCAAGGAGAGTTCACGGACTCGCTCTGCACATCGGAAAGAACGGAACCTTAGTGAGACCCATGGAGACTGAGCAATTGAGTTATGGAAAGGAGCAGAGACAGACGGAAGCTAAGACAAGGCACAGTTGAGCTCCGCGCAGGCGCTTGACCGGTGGCTGTGATGACATATCTTCCATCATGTTCTCCAGCTCACGTTCCAAGTTCCAAAGAGTCGGGTTGGAAGTGACATGGAGGTACAAGGGAGATATATCACATTTACCTGATACTGACAGCTAGCTGCGGAAGACAGAGGCAAACATATAAAGACTTGCGCCGAGTGCGTCTACGTTGAGGACGAGACGTTGTTGTTATAGATACAGTTTCCAAGGCAATGGTTTGGTTAGTCCTTGGTCGTTGGTGTTTATTCGTGAGTAGTAGTCTTCTAGTTCATCGGATCACCGGGGGGAGTCGGCCAAAAGAATATAAACAGCTACCACCAAAAAAGCAAGCCAGTTTTTTTGCCGACCCCCCGGAAGATCAGGTGCTTTGATGCTGTCACGCAAGTCCAGAAACTGGAAAAACAATTGGCTGCGCAAGTCTGTGGGCCACGAACTTCCCAACTTAGCTGCATTCTCTTCGATTCGTGTGGAAACTTGTCCAAAGTGGCGCTTTTCGTAGACGTGGAAAACACACACCCGTGTAAAGTCCTCTTCTGTATTATATATATGGTATTCTCCTTTCAATTGACTGATAGATTATCATCCCCAAACATGAAGTTGTCTGAAGGGTAGTTTACTTTTTTTTGGGCGGGGGGTGTGCCATATATATATATATAAGCCATCATTCTATAGGCTCATCTCAGTCATCAGCCCCCATCATAGCTCAGAAACTAACTGGGAAATCACCTGGATTCTAGCAGGTCATTGCCCTGCTACTGCAGAACAAGCGATGCTCGCGGAAGCGCAGTTGGCGCGCAGGATCCCAGGATGACCCAGTGTTGTTAATATAAGAGGTGAAACCTTCGAGTGTAGGATTAGGAGTATGGTGTCTATGGACCTGTTGACAGGGAAGTGTCATGGTTTTGAGAACCAGTCAAAGACGACGCATGCCTCCCCTGCAAAAAAGATTGGTTCAAACACTACCATTGAAGCCTGGCCCGGCAGGTGCAAGGATGCAAGTTGGCTGAAGTTCAGACAAGCTCCAATGTCACTGGCCGACCAAATCTGGCCAGCAGATGTGGGAAAAAACTTTGTGCGGCCATTGTATAAGAACGTAGAAACTCACAGATGGTTTATTAACGAGACACACATTTCAAGCACTCGGTCGATCTTGTGTTTCTTTGCCCGTTTTTGGCTCCAAACAACATTTAGCCATCAACAAGTTTCGAAGCCATCGGGCTTGTGGCATGCGCGTGTTGCAAAATGAAGAACCTAGCATCTTTTCAAGTGCTCCTTGTGGTGGGCAAGTGAAGTTAGGGGGGACCAAGGTGCCTTGTACGATCGATGTAGGGGTAAGGATGGGTTAAAGACAGATTGTGTTTGGGGCAGTTTAATTTGGCCAATTAACAAATTTGTTGACATTTTTGACCAGGTGACTATTTTTCCCATTGCGACATGCCATGGCAAGAGCCCTGGACGATGATCCTCCGAAGATTTTCCGCGTGTTCATCCACGGAGATGTTCGGAACGTCGGCCGTCAGCATTAATTTTCAGCCTCTATGAATTCGCTGGTCTTGTTTTCCCTCCAATATTAGAACAAGTCTCATGTTTCTTTTGTCTGCAAGTGTGTAGCAAAAAAGTATGACATGTTAGGTTTCGTGATGATGGCTCCTGATATGAGCCTCCGGGATAAGGAAACCCACCCCGTCGTTGTCTTTTGGGATGTTGCGTTTTGACCTTTGCCCCGAACCTCGCGTCCTTTTCGGTCCGATCTTGCAATGCTTGACTTGCGCTTTCGGACTACAATTCTCGTGTTCCCCCATGCCTATCGGAACATTTTTTTGCTTTTTGGACACAGGTCGTGGTGGTGAGAGAGCAATCACACGAAGAACCTGGATCAGTGCGCGGCCTTTGCGCAAACAGTGCAGCTTCGGCCAATAGACGACCAGGGTTGGAATGGGTCCACTCGCAAACTGTAGCCTGTGAGCAGGCTCGTAGGCTTCAGACGATCCTTGCATAATAGGCAGCGTTTTGTTATGAGTTATGAGTTATGAGGAGTTTTCCTTTCCTTTCCTTTCCTTTTCTCCATGTATAAAGCGCTCCAATTTCTCATGGCCACGTTCATCAAGTCTCTTTTGCTGCAGTGGTTCAGTCCCTTCCAGCACCCGTCCCTCCCAGCACCCGGAGCAATCCAACAGCCACATGTCGCCTGATTTCAACTGATCCAATGGACATCGAATAGAGCCGTCCACTGGCAGTCCACTCTTTTGCAGAGTCCTTTGCGCTCGCTTTTCCTTTGAAAAGCAGGGAAGGGTTCCTCCCCAGAACCCATCCATCGCCCCAGAAAGACGCTGCGTGAGGCTCCACGTGGCGAAGTGCTCCGAGCTGGGTCAAGCCTGGCCCTTCGAGTCGCTCGTGCCGCTGGAGGAGCTCTTGAAGCACTGTGAGGCCTCCCTGGCCGGATGGTCTTCGTGCGCGATTTACATGTCGCATCGCCCGCGCAGAGACGGACACGTCTTGCACTCCTTGGGCGTGGGACCCCGAAAGATCTTCCAAGAGACTTGGGCGAAAAAGCGAAAAAGCGATGGAAAACGAGCCTTCTCTCTCTCAGTACGTAGCAGGTGTCCTTCACGGAAAGCCAAGGTGAGTGACTGGGCGATGGTGCCGTTGGGTACGAGTTTGCAGCCCAACCAGGTTTGGCGATTTGACGCTGGTCCCCGTCTCATCCACCGGTCAGTGCATAATTCCTCTTGCTCGCGCGCGTTGAGCCCTTTTCTTTTTGGTTCCGGAAGAGTTTCGCAGGTGCAGGTGTGAACAGGAACAAAGTCCTATTCCGCAACTGTCCATTCTTCAGAAACTATTTCGCGATCTTCAGAAACTATTTCGCGATCTTCAGAAGCTATTTTGCGATCTTCAGAAACTATTTTGCGATTTTCAGAAAGCTAACTTTAGAATGTATTCCTCAGAACTTTTACAATGTTGCAGCCAATTTGCATGAAGGAGCACTGGGTGGGTGGGTGGTGGGTGGGTGGGTAGGTTGTTGGGATATTGACGTACCTTGTGACGGCTACGGTATATACATGCTTGTTTTTCGATCTGCAGAAAGCTTTTCGAGCAGGTTTGATGTTGCTCTTCGACTCTTTGTAGTTTCCGAACATTAGTTACCCTGAAGAACACCGTAGCGCCGTAGAGTTTCCGAAGATTAGTTTCCGAAGAAAACCTTAAAGTTTCCGAAGATCACTTTTTAGTTGCCGAAGATTAGTTTCCGAAGAATAGTTTCCGAAAAACACCTTAAAGTTTCCGAAGATCACTTTTTAGTTGCCGAAGATTAGTTTCCAAAGTTTCCACTTAAAAGTTTCCGAAGAACACCGTAAAGTTTCCGAAGAAGACCGCATAGTTTGCGAAGATTAGTTTCCGAAGAAAACCGTAAAGTTTCCGAAGATTAGTTTCCGAAGAAAACCGTAAAGTTTCCGAAGATCACCTTTTAGTTTCCGAATAACACTTTGACCTTAGCACACGCCCTCGGCTAGTGATGGCTAGTGGGTTACAGACTACATGTTGAGTTCAAGCCACCCCAAACTTAGAAGCAGATGAGAGAATTCTGTAGACTAAATGTGAGCTGTGAAACTATCGGTTTTGGTCATGGCGAAACTATCTACTTTGGCATGGCAAAATCATTAGACAGTTTCACAGCAATGATTTGTTTCAAATTTTAATCATGGCAGCCGATTATATAGAATGCTTTTGAGCCTTTTTTGTCTATCTTTTTTGCGATGGCAAAGGTTCAGATTTTGGACCAAGCTGAGGAACGCGCGGCGCTGCTGGGTTTGACCTTGGGCGCCCTGCTGTCCTGCGAGAAGGCCGAGCAGAAGTGGCAGGACTACATTGGCCCAGGACGAGGGGAGCTGACAGGTACTGTAGAGGAGTTTTTTGGCACCACCCAAACAGAAACTCAAGTTTTTCTAACATTTGGAAGGGCAGTCAGCCAATTCCGCTCGCCGTTTGTCTTTAAGGATTTGGCTGGTCCATGACCTTCATCCCCATGTTTTCGAGGTACCGGACCCGAAGGAACCGGCAAATCTGAAAAAAGGTGGATGGTTTTATGGTCATGGGGGTGCAGAGTGAGAATCGCTGCGTGAACGGTGATGGGTCTATGTTCGACCAGTCAACCGCATTCAACCCCTGGGTTGAAGTGTTTTTCTTCACCCTGAACTGGATTGATCGACGATCGACCTGCTTGTTTTGGTCCATTCTTTCCCTTTTTGACTTGAAATGGCACCTCCCTAGGCCCGGTCGCCTCGCTCGGACGCCTCGTTCGGACGCCTCGTCCGGACGCCGTTCGTAGACGGTGAGGAGCTCCATTCGAAGAAGCAGCCAAAGTTGCTCGCTTGCTTCCACGGACCACGATCAGGTTCCGTGGTCCTAAATGTTCCAACTTTAAGGGCTTTCTTTCGCAGGGTTCAATTCGGCGCGTGGCGATGCTCAGCATCGGGGCGAGGTTGGGGAGCTGGGAGAAGAATTGTCATCATGTCACAAAAAAATACTTCATGCCATCACCCTCCCACAGGTTACCAATTGAAACCTGATCTTTGTTTTTGGCCCAACCCTCGCACGACCTGCAGAGTCGGGCGCCTTCGGCCGCCCCTATAGAGTCGATCGGCGATCGGTTCCCCGACGTCGCCGAGCTGGCCGATTCGCCGATGTCTCAGACGGTGGGGAGGTGGTAGATACATCCCAAAAGCTAAATAACGTTGAAAGAGCTTCCATGGGTCATGTCCGCAATCAAAAAGGGCAGACGTTGGACCGGACCACGAAACGTCCGTGACACGTACCCATCTATATCCATACACTGCAAACTCACATAGAAGGCCTGTTGGTGTGTGTCACCCCCAATCTCAGGTCATGTCCGAACGGACCGATGTCAAAAACAGGTCATTTGCCCCGAACCGAACCGATGGCCATTTGCATGAAACAACTGGGGGGAACTGAAAGCGACAGGCTGTCTTGGGCTGTCTTGAGCTGTCTTGAGAAGGCTACAGAAACCAGCAACCTTTGCGATCTTATGGACTCCTGACGCCAGGCCATCAGTCCCCAACATTGCGAAAAGCCCATCTCCTCAAAGAAACTGGTTGAGCAACAGGCATTCGGATGACTCAATCCTCCAGGCTCATCCCAAGAAAAACATCTTTGGCCCAATCCCTGGTTCTTTTTGGCAAATGCGGGAGTAAAGGTTGCTGGCAAATACGGGCCAGGCGAAGTCCCAACGGGGTGTAGATCCAAGCCCTCCTAAGCCTGTCGGACTGCTTTCCAAATCCTCTCCCCTTGGATCTTCGCGATCTTCCAAAGACATCGCGAGCGCTTTCAAAAAGGTATATAGTTGAGCGTCCGTGACTCGGTTCATCCCGAACAAAACACTTCCGAAACTCTTCCGTTTGGTTTCGATGACCTCAACCACACACCCACCGAGCAGTTCTCGGTGTTCCAACTCCTTGAGCGGTAGATGTTCGCACAGAGAACGAACCTGTCGGTGATCCAAAGCTGTTTCCCCCACGGACCCAATCCAAATGAAAGTAAATTGATTGCATTGATGACATATGTAGGATGTTGTAAATCTTGCTGTAGAAACAGAAGATAATACACATATATATATATATGGTCTCGCCAGGCCGGAGAAAGGCCCTGGTCCTCAACACGCCTTTCCTGCCGAAGCGACCGACCCCGTGCCGGCGTCCTCGACTTGCCGGGCCGTGCCGGGGCGGCACGGTTCCGCGCCGCCGAGCGCATCGGAGGCGCAAGTCACGTGACTTGGAAGAAGGAAGAGCATGGTTTTGACCATGCTTCGCGTATGGGCTAGCCTCTCCAGAAATTCAAGGTCACACCCACAGAGCTTCTGGAGAACAGGACATCATGTGCTTGTAAAATGTATTGGAAGTTGTTTCTATTCCTGGTCCTCTTAACCTCTAAACAGGCACCGGTTTGGGCACCGTTGAATCGATCAAGCCGCCTGAGGCTCGACGAGGCTCTGCAGTGCTGGGCCCAGGGCCCAGCCACGTGGAGCAATGCGCCTCGGCCGCAGTGCTGTGACCCGGTGGAGCGCTTCTCCGCAGGGTCTGCACTCCCAGGGGTCGAAGTTGGAGGCTTTGGGCTGGGCTCAAACAGGGTGTTCGCTCAAACAGGTCGTTTTGGGTTGCCAGGTGTCTGGTCCCCCCCAATCCGCCCAAAGGTCAGTGGGTGTGTTTGCTTCAATGTGGGCTTCAGCGGTTTTGGCCGAGGGTGCAGAATTGCGGTGTTGGGTGCTGACCAGGCAATGTTGGATTCCATCAGTTAAACCCCCGGCTAAGGCTAAGGGGGCTGCCATCTCGACCTTCACCTCCCCACTTGAGTTGAGTCGAATTGAGTCGAAGGTGCGGTTTGTAACGCCTTCCTTCGTCGCTGGACCTCAGAACTGCGACGGTTTCAGGATCGACGGAAGGATCGTCACGTCTCGCCATCGTCTCTTCCGAGGACCAACTGATCGCGACGCCTTTGGAACGGAAGGATTTAAGAGAGATCGCGCCTGGGCACCGGTGTGATGTTTGTTGCTGCGACTGAACTGTGGGAGTGATCCATCTGTGGGACTCACCTGGGCATTGGACCCTCTACACTGCACTCCCTGAAATCACGAATCAGTGGAAACTGCGTGGGTTTTGAGTGCGGATGACCCTTTCTTCCTCTATCAACAGAGTGTTTTGTTCTGGTTCGTCCGTCCGCTTCACCTGGCGACTCGGTGAGCGCCCCTTGTGTCGTACTCGGTGAGCCGAGAAAGAATGTGCGGTGTTTTTTGGGATTTTTTTTTTCCCTTTTTGAGTGGAGGAGCAATTGGCACACGTTAGGCGAAGACCAATTCGGGTGGGAAGAGAAATCAGAGAAACGGGGGGTTCGCGTGCCGAAGACCCGAAAAAGACCACTGGAGCGCCGGACCGCGCCTGGCGCAGCGCTTCGGCTGCGCGCCTAGCTGCGCAGCCAGTGCAGCACGCCGAGGAGCCCATGAAGGAAGACTGCCTCCAGCAGATCTTAGACCTGGTGCGGCCCACCTTCCGGGACAAGCTCAGGCCGCCGAAGAAATGGGGGCAAGGAGGTAGATCGGGTCGTGAAGGGGCTGAGGATCTGATGGTTCGCCACTTGCCACACGCAAAACCTGTACTAGAATCCAATATCCACACAGTACACCATCATTCTAGATGGTTCACATACATATTAAAATAAAGCTGGTTTCTATGATCTGACTTGGCAACTTGGAAGAGTTGAAGGTGATTGCCGAGCCCTTAAGAAGGGGCTTTCACAGGCAATGTGGGGCAATTTGTTTGAGGTTCCCGCAATCTTGGAAGTTTGGCGGAGGGGATGTGCCCCTCTTTCCTTTTACCTCCATGGCACTCATAATCATGGCGCGTCCTCAGCTCTTGAGGTCGCCGGCTTCGCCGCAGCGGGTGTCCTTGGACCTGGTAGGTTCCTACCTGCCCTGGCCGCGGATCCTAGCGGCCCATGAGAAGATGCCTCAAATCATCGGTTCTGGCCTGGTGTCCTTCCGGTTGATGATGGACTGGAACATCCTGGACCAACAAGGACCGAGTGGCTTGTTTTTAACCAGAACTCTCTCGACCGTGTTCGCCATGTTGGAATATCACCATCGGGCGACCTGGTTTGGTCAAGACATGGTGGCGATGTCCCCATTTGAAGTGGCGACTTGGGAGAGAAAAGGCCGCCTTCCAGACACTCTGGCGAGTCGGCTCAGTGCCCAGATGGGCAGGTGATGGAGGAATTGGATGTGATGAGGGAATGCGTTTGGTTGTCTTTTCTTTTGCGTAGGAATGTTTAAGAATGTTTGTACTATAGGGCTGGTCCTGGCCTTTATCTCTTTGTCTACAGACGGCCTTCCTTTTCGCCATGAAGTGCTCTGCTGGAGAATCGCCTGTTGCTTTTCATGTGTCTTGTGCCCTGGTCAGAACCTCTCCTCTACTTCGAGGCCGCGGAAAAGAATGGCCAGGTTCATACATTCCACTCTTTAAAGAGGACGCACCAAAGTGAACAGATGCGGAGGACACCCACGGCGAGTGCTGACAGACACAGTGCCAAAAGCTCCTGGTTGGCAAGTGATATTACCTCAATCCATTTCTATTTGGTTCAATTCCTTTGCCTATGCTCTAGGTGTAGAACTCTTCACTTGTACATTGCGCGCGCCCTGAGAGTCGAAATGACTTCCGGGTAAGGTAAAATGAGTCAAAAACGGAATTTCTGGGGCATCGAGGGTCCAGAAAAACAACGTTCCAGTGCGTGGAAAACCCCAAAGGCCGTCGTCAGCATCCCTCGGCCGAGGCCGACTCCCTCGCCCACGGGGCGCCCGTGGCGGGCGCCGTGCTCGCCTCGCGCGCGGGGCGCGCGCGCCGCGGGCGTTGCACAGCGCCCGGGAGCCGGGCTCGAGCCGGGCTCCGGGCATCACGCTGCAGGGGCAGTTGTGCCGAGAGCAAGAGCTTCGGCACTCCCGAATCATCAAGAAGCTGGACCCCTCCGTGTGTCCGGAGGCAGAGAAGAGGTTCAGAGCCAGCATCTTCCGAGCCAGTCAAGATATCCGCTATTCCCACGCGGCCATCAGTCAACGCTTTGCTCAAGGTGAACACCAAGGTGAGCTGGTCAGTCGATTGGTGGACGACCTTGTTGCTGGGCATGTTGATGCAGTGAACCTTCCACCAATCGTGGTCATTCGCTGGCATGGCACTCATTACGTGATCATGGGCAACCGACGTTTGCGTGCCTACAAGGAAGCCTACGAGAGAGGCCATGATGTCGAATTCCGCGTGATCGTGCACCCATTCCCTCAGCTGGACACCCTTCAGGATCCCGAAGAACAGCGTGCCTTCAACGCCAAGGTGGTGAGTGCAATGAGTACCAAGTCAGATGGAAAGGACGTGCGCCTCCGAAGCCGGTCCCCCCTTCGACGGCCTGGCCGCCGCCCGCGCAGCCCGGAGCCCCGCAGGGTGCGCCTCCGCCCGAGGCCCGCGAGCGAGGCGGAGCAGTCGCGGGTGAGCAGCTCGGTGCAGTGGCGCAAGGATTTGCTGAAAAGGGTTCAGAGCTTGTTGAAGGAGAGGCCTCAGGGAAGCAACGGGAAGGATGAGACGGTGGATGTGGATGTGATCGAGGTGAGGGAAGTGAGGCCCCAGAAAAAGGCCATGCCGCGGCCGGCCAAGAAGGCAATGCCAAGGCCCGCCAAGAAGGCGATGCCGGCGCCGGCACCCGCCAGAACTTCTGCCACTTCAGTACCTTCGTATGTTGAAACGGCTGAAATTCGACTGCTGTGATGTTTTTTGCTGCGCCGTAGAGGGTTGGGCTTTCTCCGATTAGGTTTGGAAATCACAAAGTCGTGAAAGCCCGTGTGGCTTGCTTGGCCAAGGTCGATACCAAGTGGAGATGATCAGAGATGATAGATTTATGATTCCCCTGGGATTTTGACAATCACTGTTACCATTACCATAGTTTTAACGGTCTTTACCAAAGAGCCATTGTCTTGCTAAGGATTTTTTTACATAACCCCACCAGGTCAACCATTCTTTTAATGGTTTTTGAAGGCCAGGGACTCAGTTGCTTTGAAATCATTGGACATCATGGGCCCATCTTGCAAAAAGCCGTGTGTTTTTGATGCATGTTGTGTGTGTCAATCACGGTACGCATACTATTCTCCCTCTCTCTTCTCTATGGACGTCGGTGATTCCAACGCCGGAAGGCCCAACCGAACACCGAACACCACCGTGCGCCCGAGAAGTCGGGGTTCGCGTTGGTCGAGAAAGACGGCACTTCGGCTCCAGAAGCGATTTCGGTGCTCGGTGTGGAAAATGGAAGGAGCTTTGGATTCTGCCGGGGTTTCTGGGTTTCTGGGAAGCTCTGGAAACCACTGAGTCTGACTGGAGCGAATCCACCAGCTACTGCAGCCTCGCAAATGTGGCGAGTCCTTCTTTGGATGGAAGAACACCTGTCTTGTTGTAGCTATGACACTCCTGGTCCCATGGCTTATGGCACAAGAGGTTGAGACAAGTAGTTCCAAGAAAGCGTAGTGGAGAAAAGCAAGCTGCTCAGTATCCCAGCAATATGAGCATATGCCAATGAACTTGGGATGATGAAGCTGTCTTTTTCCTCACGATGTCATCCTGAGGGTCTAGGACATGTCGGCGCTGCCTGGCCCAGTTGCGTTGAGCCGAAGAAACCCGAAACCTGCCAAACATGTCGGGGAGACGGTCATGGCGTAAGGACCGCCATGAGAGCCAACGCAGGGACCATGGTCCGAAGGGTCCTGTCGCTGCAGAAGGATGGGTCGCAGGCAAAGTGGAGAGATTTCAGGGTCCATACAAGTTCTTGTCGAACTTCTTCTGGTCCGAGCTGGACTTTCAGGGCTTGAGATATCCATCTGTGGAGCATGCCTTCCAGGCAGCCAAGCTCGTGGAGAACCAGCAGCGTGTCGCTTATGGCTTCACCAGTCCTAGTTTGAGCTTCGGGGAAGCGAAGCGCTTAGGGCGCCAGGTGGCTCTGCGGAAAGACTGGAAGGAGATCCGGGAAGAGGCCCCGGATTGGCCAGAAAGACATGGCAAAGACATGGCTCAGAGACAGCGTAGCCCCCCTTCCATGAGAGGACTTTTTTTGGAAGGAGGGATTGTGCTGATCTTTTCAAAAGACTGATCTTTCCACAACTTTTTTGGCCCCTCCTCCAATCCTTTTTTCTTGGGGCAATGTTTGGAAAGATCAGTCTTTTGACCCAACAACTCGTGGCCGTGGCCCGTTTTTTCGTTTCGTTCCTTTCGCTGGGCGCTGCGTAAACGGACGGAAAATAGCCATGTCCGGCGGTGTTTTAGCAGGTCAGACGGACATCCCCATTTTGCCAGGTAAGGGTTGTTAGAAGCAACCAACATCACCGAATTAATGAGCAGAGTAAACTGCCATGGAAGTAACAAAAACAAGTGGTACTTTGTTGTTTTTTGGTGTCCGCCTTCCACTAACCAGTGTGGACTAGATACAGTTTCAATATTTGGTGTGGTGTCCTGCGAGGTCATGGCTGAGTGCCTCTTGGCGAAGTTCGAAAACCCTGACCTACGGAAACAGTTACTTTCAACTGGAGATCGAGAGCTGGTGGATGGACACTCAGGCAGTCCAGATCTCATTTGGGGTTATCACATCCCTTCCAAGAAGGGGGAAAATCGTTTGGGCATCCTACTCATGGAACTGAGATCCAAACTGAGCCGACCTTTGGTGCAGTCCAAGACCAAGCCGCCCTCGACGGCTTCGGAGCAGACCGTGGCATTGTTCCATTTGGATTGGCCGGTGAAATGCCTGCATGACGGCTTGCCGGCGCCGTACGCCGCCTGCATCCAACGGATCGCCACGGAGGCCAGCTTGGCCGGATCTTGCGTGGTGCTTCCACGCAGGAAGATTTGCATCGCCCTGTGTGGCCAACTGCGCGACCTCGATGCCTGGGAGCAGCGCCTCCGCAGCGAACACGTTGACGTGAACCGCCGCGGCCGGCCCTGTCGTGAACGCATGCTGGTGCAACTGCTGCGCTCCGGTTCGAAGGGTGGGCCTCCGGAAGGGAGTGAGACAGGTGGGCGGTCCTCGGACAACTTCACCCAGGAGGAGGTTCAGGATTGGCCTTCACTCTGTAAATCCTTAGCTTCTGCTTTGGGACTTGCAACCTCCATAGTCTCAGATGCTCTGGGTCCAGAGGTTCCAGAACTACCCTGTGGTCCGGTGCAGTATGTGGATGGCCGCCGTGCCGTGTGGCTGGACGGCCACCGCTATGCGCTTTGCTTGAACGAAGGTTTGGTGAACGAGATGCCCGAGGCCCTGCTGGGCCGTGTCGAGGCACAAGTGCCGCTGGGCCAGGGAGAAGAGACTGCGCTCGGCGTTCCGTCGCAGAAGCCCAGCATCTTCGGAGGAAAGTTTGCGCGAGCACTTCGGGGTTTGCTGCGAGAGGAGGAGTGTCAAAGATTGATCGAGCTTTCGGAGAAGGAGGGTTATGGCCTCGCAGGCTTGGGGTTAGAGCAACGAGTGTTTTTCAGCTTCCCTCATGTTTCCTGAAAGGGCTCAGAGTGCAACGTCAGCTTCTTATGATCCCCGAGAAACTTGTTTGTGTCTATGTGTTCTTGTCAGTTTAAGGCTGAAGTGCGGGAATGTTTTACGGACAAACACGCATTTTAGCATAGTAGGAAAGACCGTCTTGGCTCAACCCATGTTTTACACAGCGTTCTGTATTTCAGCAAGGGGGTCGTTTCGGGCATGGTCATGGTCGGGATGGCGTGGTTTTCACCAGGTTCCAGGGGCTTCAACCCGTTCACTCGCTTTGCCCAACGTTGCCTGCTCGATGCGCCCCTGGTGGCGGAAGCTCTGACGTGGCGTTTGTGGCAGCTGCTACCCCAGGAGTATCCGCCCTCATCCGGGCAACGGCTCCTGGGGGTGAACAAGCGCTTGCGCTTCTTGAAGTACGGGCCAGGGATGCACCACGCTGATCACACGGACTGTGCGCATGAGGATGAGCAGAGCAGAAGTTTTCTTACGGTCCAGTTGTACCTGAACTCAGGCTTTGGAGGGGGTCGGACCACCTTTATCTCCGACGGACTGGTGCCAATCGAGCCAACGACGGGTGGTGCGATCGTGTTTGATCACGAACTCTACCATCGTGGAGGCATGGTGACATCTGGATTGAAGTATGCACTTCGAATGGACGTGTCCTATGAGAAGGTTCAGGGGAAGTCAATCTGGCAGCAAGTTCCCCAGGACCACGCCGCGGACGAGCGACGCAAGAGCAGGTGGGGTCGCAAATAAAAGTGAAGAACATGAAGCACGAGATTTGATAGTCCATCCATTTTACAGTTTTTGCCTTACAATCCATGCAAGTATTTTATCGTCCACTTTAAACTGGCATCTGCCTTACAGTATTTGTAGTCCACTCCAAGTCCAAGACTTGACATCGGATTTTCCGGCCGTTGGGCCGCCCAGTTTTCGTGCTCTGATGCCATGGCCGCCATGGCCCAGACAGGGGCCCTGTCTGCTTGTGTGGTAGCTGACACAGAAACGGACTCATAGACCGGATGCCTGTTCCGGTCTGTTCCGCCTGCAATAGGAGTAACAAGAGCCCGACCCAACTCTGATGCAAGGTCATCTTCTGCTTCTCGGGGGAGCGATGAGAGATGACGAGAGGAGGATGCCTCAAGTGGATTCAGACCAAGCTGGGTCATTTTGACCTCATCGATTTGGTGGTGATTCACACCCGACACCCTTGCACCACAGGGGTGCTATTCGAGTGATCAAACCTTTGAAGACGTGTTAAACCTCAGCCCTGCCAGACCAGAACTGTGCTTGGAATGAGGAGTCGATCTTTCCCGGTCTGGCCTCCGCGCCGCTGTATCGGTCGTGACGGTTGCTTGTTCATGTGGGTTGATGGCTCTCAGCAAGGCTTGGATGGCTGAAGTTACTCAAGTCTTTATTTGGCCCACATCGTTCGAAATCAACCAGCTTTTCAGGTGTGAATTTGTATAGTCGCATGAAAGCCGAACGAAGTCATCACGGTGTTCCAGCCGTTGGAAGAACGGAGACTCGGTCGTTGGTTCTCGCCATGCCTGCGGTTGGAGTTAACATGGAGGTGCTGGCAGCTTGTGGTGTTGAAGCGACACATCGTGGACTGATCCTTCAAAGAGATGGCAGATTGCATCTCCAATATTGTGGAGTCAGGAAGGACACCTGTAGGGTTTGCAAGGACACCATGATCCGGATCCCCTCCACCTCGTGTTTTTTTTCCAGATCCTGGACGTTTCTTGCCATCCTTTGTGGTTTCCTGTGGAGGCTGCCCGACCATGGTTCATGGAGCTGAACGAACGTGTGCCGCTGGGACCCTTTTTTTGTTCGGTCGGGTCACGGGGGTTGAGAGAAACAGGCATGTGTAACTAGTGACGATCCTGGTAGAGGGGAATTCAATCTTTTGACCTCCACTTTAGACACTTGACTGATAGGGTCTAGGATGGTCTAGACTCCTGGAAGTCCAGCTTGCTTAGCTATTAGCACTATAGGTAGTCTAGGTAGACGCTACGTAGCAACTGAATGCTGGGAAGTCGAGATCCATGGTGATAGACAAAAGCGGTTTGGTTGGTGAAGGTTTCACTTGGTGCATCATGATTCTTCACGTTTTGCGAACATGGACACCTTACAGTTTCAATGAAAGGGATAGTCGTGCATCTCTCGCAAGCTCGGAAGCGATCGTTTTTCCCGTTGAACGGCTGGTGAACCTTTTTCTTCTGAGACTTGTAGCATCTGGAGGGTATGTTGCCTCACTGACCAACATTTTCCGTCACGTCTAGCTGCCTCAAAATCTTGCTCGGCCGCTCGGTGGGTTTTCACTCAAGCTAGCCGCCAAGCAACCGAGGTGGACAAACGTTTTTTTCTTTTTATATACTGTTTCTTCTTCACTGCCTATGAAAGGCCGTGACGGACGACCGCAAGTCGCGCTATATACGGTTTCTTGATTTCCCGTGGAGCCGAAGCCCGGCCACTTGTCCCGCACCTGTTGTCCCCTCTTTTTGGGCGATCTGAGGAAGAGGCGGCAACATGCCGAGGCCGGTTCGGCGGCGCGGCGTCCTTCCACGTTTTCGTTGCTTTTTAAATACGCAAGTCGGGCCTCCGATTAGGGGGTACCTGGTACCCCGCAATCAGAAGGTCTCGGAGGGTTGACCAGTGACCGTCGTTGCTCCAGCGAGCCCCGAGCCCCGTCGAGCCGGCAGGAGTCCGAGAAGGCCGAGCGTCTGGGAGCCTGGCCAATCGGGCACGACTGACCAGCCGTTTTTGCGGGTTTTCGGTTTGGTCCAGTGTTTGTTTTGGCAATGGAGACCTGAAAAGAAGACCGGCATGTGCCACTTGTGATCCTTGTGATCCTTAGTGAACACGAAATAACTTTTAAGTGCCGATTTTTCATGGCCCAGTATTTCAGAGATCTTCAGAGCTTCACCACCATCCCTTCTTCTTGAAGAACCAGCCCAAGCTGCTTGGTGCAGCCTGCTTCACCTTCAGAGTCTCAAGGGATGCCACTGTTCGTGGTGCCAGTTTCTGTTCGGATCTGCTCGGCTTTCTCTTTGGGTATGGATTTTGGCAGATCCTTTCGGAACTCCATTGGCACTCCACAGACACCATCCTTTTCACCACACATACTTGGTATCAATAGGGCCAAAGTCTGGGGTTTCGACGGCCCTCGCGTCGCTCCCAGGCGTCCCGCGCGACCGAAAACCCCAGCAGGACGGGCCGGTCCCCGTCCTCGTCCGGGGCCGGAGATGGAGTCGTTCCCCAGATCTAGCCCATCTGGGGCCCTGGCTGATCTAGGGCGAGGGGTCTTAATATCTTGAGTGACTAGCCGCTAGCCGTGGAAAACATCAGGGGGTGGTGAGACAAAGTTCCTTTTTTTTGGGGGGGGAGGACGGACGAGTGATGGGAGTCGGACTGGAGCTTGACCGGAGGTGTGGACGTCGGACGTCTTTGAGGGATGTAGAGATCTCCCTGACCTGACCGTGCCCTTTTGACCCGGCTTGGACGCGCCGCGGCATGGGTTTTCTTGTGACCAGTAGGATACACCACTCCCAGGTGGGTGCCAGGTGATCCAGCGTTGGTCCTATGAAAAGAACATACAAGAACCGTCTGCCCAATTTGGTGTCTGGCCATGCGGATCGAACTTGGTAAAAAAGAGCGGGATGGGCCGCGCCCCGCGCGCCAGTCACGGGGAGGGAGTTCTCGTACCGTTTGGAGGGACCAACCGGAGGACGTAAGAAGAACATAGAAGAACCTTGTCGATCAGGGTCTATCCGGAGGGTCTTCCTTGGTTCGTCTCCCTCGGAACGGAATGTCATCAGGTCACAGGTGAATGTTTGATCCCCTAGACTGCTCCTTTTATAAACATGTTTAATAGCACATTTGCACCTATAAAATGATTTCCTGCAGAGCAAGTTACAATCAAGGGGGAACATTTTTGCTGCCTCTCTGAATCTTCAGGAGACGTCAGGAGGTGGGGTGGAAGCGTTGTAAGGGCACAGCGTGCGCCCTGCGCGCCCTGCGCGCGGCTGCGCGCGGCTGCTTGGGGTCGCAGGGGGGTGGGATTCAAGAATTCAGGTTTTTAGGATGACTTCGGGTGCAATTTCAAAGGGTGTCATGGAACAGGATGACTTGATCGACTTTCCTGAACTGACCAACACATGTATATGGGCCTTGCGCGTGTACAAAGTGGTCGCCTCCAAAATAGATTGAGAAGTGGATGCGCTCTCCCTTTTCGTTGCACTTGACCTCTCAGGTCGAGTCTCTTCAGAACTGGTGGTCCATCTGCTTTTGACCCCTGACCCGACCGTCGCTCTACGGCTCCGCTGCTTTCTTCCGCCACAGGCGGTGAGCCTCTCGCGCTGATGGACCGGGGGCACGGAACGACCGTCGTTCCGTGTCGCTTCGCTCTTCTGCCCTCTGTGCCAAAGCTTCAGCGGGTGAACGCAGCTAGGAAGATGATAGAAGCGCCCTAAAGAACAGAATCGTCCTTTTTTTGCGCCGGAGGATTATTGGCTCGACATGAGAGTCATCACCAAATTGACCAAGTTTGCCTTGGGTTTGGGCAGGACCAAGCCAGCGCTCAGTCTGGGCGCAACTACTGTGCTGCGGCCTCAATCGACTCCGCGGATGCTGCACATTCAGCAGTATTGGTCGATGGCGTGGTCACCACAGGCCTAGGCCTGCCATAGGAGTTAGTTAGTACCTTTCCGAGTCCGCGATCATTTGCATATTTTTCTTCGGGCCAGACATGCCGACTTCTGCAGAAAGACTGACTCTGCTCCCGACATGGCCTTTTTGAAGCAAGACTGTCGTTACAGCCCCTTGTTTTCTGCAAGCTGCCCAGCAGTTATAAGTTATATAGAGCCTTGTTTCTGTGGAACCCACAGGGGGGCGCTTCACAGGTGTGTATACGTACAAGTTCCATTGATCAGTGCTCCCCAAGTTTGCCGGTTGAGGTGATGACAGAACGGGGCAAAGAGACCTGGGAGGCCCATTGGGCAGCTTGAGACAGGTGACCACTGGACAATTCAGGCTACCGTTGCTTGTTCGAAGTGTGGAATAGAGAAGAGATTGGAATAGATTGACATGACTCAGATATGATCAGATACCATGGTTTCTTTCCCGGCCATGTCAAGTTTCGGTCCGCATTCTGCACCCCCGGCCTCGAAGGGCCAATGGACTAGTCGACTGGCTCCCCTGTTCCTAGTAGTAAGGCCAGGAGCCCCGTTCATAGCTTCCGATCGCTCCTAGTGACATCCTTAGCTCTTTCACACCCTTACTCCCCTTCCGGTTTTGTTGGGAACTACCGCTGCCCAAAGCATGTCGTGGAGTTTAAGTTCACAATTCACCCGAGCCTTCTCGGCGAACGGAGAGACTCCTTGGCGAATCGCTTCACCGAGGACCCCGAGCTTGTCACCCTTCCGTCGTCGTCCCCCGTTCCACCGCGTTCTCCAGGCGTTCCAGGCGACGGTCGGGCCAGCGCAGAAGTGGGTGCGGCGACCCGGAAAGGTCCTCAGACCACTCCACCAGTCCTTCAATGGCTATGCTTGGGACTTCGGGGAATGCCGGTCCCTGCAGCAAGCACCAAGCCAGATAGTGGTTCTGAAAATCACGAAGCCAAGGAATAGATCCCAAAGAATCTGCGGATTTCAGAAGGGCCAACTAAAATCCTTTGTAAAACAATGGTTATTTGGTAAAGACTCAAGACCATTAAGACAATTGTTGTTAGAACTCAAGGGGCATTGGTGTCCTGGGCTTCGGGCGCGGCGGCGGGCCCTCCGACCGAGGATTCCCGCTTGGTGCTGGGTGCGGGCACTCGGCGCCGTTCCGACCAAACGAAACGGGACGAGCGCTCAGACCGAGGCTGGGTCTGACGCCGGGTCTGACGCGGATGGTGTTTGGGGTGGCGAATCGCATCACTTAACGCCCCTGTGAAGGATGGTGAAGGACTAAGGCCCTTCGTTTGAGATGATCAAGTGATCAGACCCGGGTGCAATCCCGTTGAAGGCCGAAGTAGGTGGAAGAGGAGGAGCGGAAGGGGTCTAGCAAGGAGGAAGCCAAGAAGATCGAACAGAACCAGCATTTTGTGTCCAAAGAAGAAAGGCCACAGCGAAAAAAAACCTGTTTTGTGCACATTCTACCTGGCACATGAACTTAGTTTGGTTTCTACAAGAGAGAGGAAGACACATGAAGACACACAGTTGCAAGTTTTGTTGGATCAGCATGTTCCAGAAGTCTCCCATTGGGCCCTCACTTTCACCAAAACCATCGACCAACCCCCTCTCCGACCGCCGAAACGAGGTCCCGAGCCCCAAGTGGCGGCGGAGGCGATCCGCCGAGCCTTGGGCTTGGCCGTTTGAGGTGGAACAAAAAGGGGTCGTTTGGGCCGTCACGGGAGGGGGAGCAGAGAGGTGTGGGGGTGGTGCGTGGGATGATGGGGGAGCAGAGAGGCCTTTGTTGGGGGCGGCCAGGCGAGAATGCTGAATTCTCCCGATGGTTATTAGGAGGACTTTTTGGGGGTAGATCCAGATGTGGCGCCGGTGCGTGCGTGTAAGTCTGTCACCTCTTTCGGGAACGACCTGTGTCTTTTCACAGCGGGACGGCCCAGAGGCCGTTCTTTCTTCGACTCTCCGACGGTCCTCACCGAGGAATTCCATTCGAAAAGCGGTAGACCTTGTTACTTGTTACTAGTAGCGATGCACTTGTTACTAGTTGCGATGCCAGGAGCCTCTAGTAGCGTCCTTGCTCCTAGTAGAAATGCCCTTTGTTCCTAGTAGCCTCACCGAGGAATCGAGCAAAAAGCGATGCGAGTCTACGAGGGTCTACGAGTCGTAAGTGATCGAACTCGAACTCGACGCGGCTTTCTACACCACCCACGGCATGTGTGAAAGCGCGGGGGCGTCAGCCTGAGCTGGCCAGGTTTTGAGGTGTTTTGGTTGCTTTGGCGAACCGTGCCAACCCATGTATTTACCGTATCGACCGTCGATACAGTCGCGACCGCGAAAAAAAAGTCTCGGTCTCGAACAGTACGTTCCGGCGGGGCGGTGCCTGTGGGACACAAGGAACGGCCGTCGATTTGGCAGATCGATGCATCGAACGCTGTCTCTGAAGGCTGGCCGATTACATGAGCGAGATTCGATTCACAAATGGATTGACCTGTCAACACTTTTTCACCCAGTCACAATCCATCTTTTTTTCTAGCAATCTTCCCATCCTTTCAGCAAGCTCTTTTGGAGTGATTCCCCCACAAAACAGGACTCCACTCCCAAATTCCCGTCATGATGACAGTCCGTTGCTCCCAATTTTCCGGAGGCTTGCCTCCACATAACACTGCACATACCTTCGTTGCGGGGTCAACTACCTTGCCAATAAAGAAACTTAGAGGAATGCCGGGATCCCAGTTCCAAACAACTATGTGGAACATATCAATCATAGAAGTGCTTTCTGGTTCCAAACAACCACTGCCTGTGCCAGACACATTTTCGTCCCAGCGCATCCGGAAAAAAAGACAACACCTGCAATGTCCGATGTGCCCGCCGCCGTTCGCTACGAATACGTCACGCGTGAGATTGGGGTGCCAGTCTGCACCTTGACCGCTGCGGATTGCAATGCGCGCTGGCGAAGCCTCCCCCAGTGGCGCCCTCTGAACGGAAGGCGGATCCAGTTCCAAGTGCCAAGCCTTCCGGACGGTGGCGATAATGTGATGTTGCAAATCCCAATGCCGGACGGCAGTAAATTGGAGGTTCCTCTACCCGAGAGGTGTGCTGAAGGTGATTGGCTCTCCTTGTTTCAACGAGCTGACCTCTCCTGGAAGGTGGTCGTCAAGAAGAAGCGCTTTTCCTTTGTGGTGCCAAAGGAGTGCCAAGGGGGAGACGTACTAACCTTGAGCCCATCAGACCAAATCAGCCTGTCCTTCACGATCCCTGAGAATGTGGAGCCCTACAATGTGGTGACCTTGGCACAAGAGGGCGACGAGTGGGCCTTCGCGCAATGCGCTGTTTTGCCACCCTTCTCAGAGACACCCTTCCAGCCGGACTGGACCACCGGTCAATATCAGCAGATCCTCAATGCTCTGAAAAGCAAGGGCTATGTTGATCGGCTGCGTCCAGATCCCGAGGGTGTTCTTCATGTCAGCGTTCCCTTTTGTGGCTTGGTCCGGAGTGTTACAGTGGTACCGTCCGTGGTACCTTGATGCGAGGTTGTAGACTAGGTGTACACAGTTGTCCATCATCCACAAGCAGCTTCAGCGGGTGAAGCGGATTGCTAGGCTCTTTCAGGTCGGACTGTCCTCAATTTTGGGCGCTCAAGCGGTGGAAAGTATGCAGTGCGCATGTGCCTCACAAATCCTTTGCTAGGGTCTAATTATGATAAATATATACCCAAGTACCTCAGAAGGTATATATTTGGACAATCTAAACCGGTGCTTGAAACCCTTGAAACCCGTACGGATACCACTTGCCCCTGCAGATCTGCAGATCTCCACCCTTGCCTCCTTTTCACCTGAGGCGGACACTTTCATGAATATGTCACTCTGGGCAACTTCCTGGCTGAAAGCGCATCGGCAGTGCCAGGAGCAGCTTGGGCTGCAAGCGGGCCCTGTAAACCCTGAATTGATCTCCACCCTCGTGGGAATGTGTCGATGGGTGTCGATGGGTGCGATCTTCCTCTACATGTGATACTGACTCCGATGATTTCCCTGTTTTGGCTCTAGTCCTCCTTAGCACCAACATACACCAACAGTCTTGGAGGTGGGGAAGATCTCCGTTTTCGGCATGGAGCTCTTCGATGATTACATCCGCGACTGGGCCCTGGCCGAGCGCTACTTGTGGCGCAAGCACGGCATCGAGTGCCGTGTGGAGCAAGGCGATCTGGCGGAGGAGCCCATTCCGACGGCACAGTGGGTGATTGGAATTCATCCGGAGGTGACCAAGGGCGGTCCCTGGTTTCGCGCCTTGGAGACACCGACCCTGGAGAGGGAGGGAAGGTTCGTGGGAGGGAGGGTGGCGAGAGGGTTTCAGGCGCGAAGGGCATGGGAGTTTGGGGAATCGGGGAGGAATTTGGGGAGCCAGAGCTTGGTGGCGTCCCTTATTCGGCAGAGAGAGCAAACAACACCAAATTCACCCTGTAAAGTCAGTAAAGTTAACATGGAATCTGAAAATGGACCACTGGAAGATGTCTTTCTGCTCCAGAAACACAAGTTTTTTTGTTTTTCAGGTTCGATTTCTAACCTAAAATCGCTGTATCCCCGGACTTTTTAAAGAAGACGCACTTTCATGATCTCCAGGATCTGGGAGGAAAGGTCCGCTGGTGAAGTGTCCGTGAGGTGTCTAGGTGCGGGTGGAGTATGGATTCTGCTGGTTCGTTCTTTTTTTTGGGGGGGGGTTGGTGTGGTTGGGTTTGAGGGAAGGAAAGGGCTGGTTTCTGTGAGTACAGGTGGTGGTATGTGAGTGATTCTCGTTGGACTTTTAAGGCATCATTGGATCGTTGCTCCGGAGCTGCACTGGTCTCTGCACCTTTGCCACCTTCTATGAGGAGGAGAGGGTTGGACATGGAAGGCAGAGAAGAATAGTTCGGAACATCGAAGCCAACATATGAAGAACCCTACTCTGTGATGTTGTTCCAAAGGAACGGGTTCTTAGATGTTGGAACGTGATGGGGTCATAGGTCATGCAACACATGCGCTTCGCCGGCGGAGACTTGGTGGCGCGTTTACCAAGCCACGGCGGGTTTACCGGGAGACTCCTGGAACCATCAGGTGTGGAGTGAATCCAAGGACCACTTCTGTTTGGTCCAAATGGATTGAACATGGCCCTTCGAACCCGAACCCTCAAAGGGCAAATTTGGTTCTCCCATCCACACCCCTTTGCCATGGATGAATCCAGGGAGTGTAGCGAATCGGATCTTCCGGCAGATCATTGAGAGGGCATGTGGTGCACGGCAGATCTTTGCCGACAGCGACCGTTTTTGAAGAAAGGAAGAGATCACGTTTCGATGGTCCAACAAATAACTGTCAGACGGGAGGATTCACAGTTGCTGTTGATGTAGGTGTCACGACCGGGGTTCAGGTTGTTTTTCAGGTTGATTGATTGATTTATTGATTGATTGGTTGATTGATTGATTGATTGATTGATTGTTTGGAGTGATTTGCAGAGTGATTGGGGACCAGGAGCCGACACTGGTACAGGGTACGAAGTAGTATGAAGGACTGACAAGATGGCCCAGGAGAGACAGACGTTGTTGAACATGGTTGATATGTACAAGCTCGAGGGAGCCAAGGTGGAGTGGTTCGAGAATCCCTTCTATGCCTCTGAGGAGGTCGGATTGCATCCAGCCATGAGGTTTATCGTGACCGTGGAGTTGCGATAAAAAGTCTCGTCTGGAAGCGCCTCAAAGCGCTGGACTTGGGCACCAAAGTCTAAGATCTCGTTCTTCTGACCTTTGCTCTGCTCATCATCGGCCCCATTTTGATGCAATGACTTTGATCTCATTTTTGGGTTGGGATGGTTAGGTCTGAGGCTGAGGTATTCTGGAATTTGGGTGCATTCCTGTAGGCACTGTAGGCCTTGAGCCATCTGCTGTGGTGCTTGCTCTGCCCTCCGTCTTCGTTCCGGCTGGTCTGCTTCCTCGGTCTTCCTCGGTCTTCTCACCAGGCGCAACGTCCCAAACCCACTCCAAGATGCACCGTGCGGTGAAGAAAACGCCACCCGTGGGCGATGAGGCTCAAAACTGTTTTTTGATTTTAGAAGCACTTCACTTAAGCTTTTGATCATGGTGACGTGCATGCCATGGAACATGCCAGAAATGGTACAGCAGGCGCGGTGTGGCCAAAAACCCTCACGCGTCGAGTTTTGAAGAAGGAGTGGCCTCCGAAAAGGAGTCCTTGGCATGTTTGGGTTCAGAGTCGACCTTCTCATCCCACCAAGAGTTTGATGTGAAGTAGTTTGATGTCGGACGCGGAAATACTGCCGGATTCCAGAAGAGTACCAAAGAGTGGGCAAATGGTGTGCATATATATATATATAGAGTCACTGTTCTAGTTCATGTGCACAATGTTCTGCAACTTTTGTATTCCTGGTACCTTCATCTCATCTTTCTGATGCACCCTAGGAACCACGCCGTGAACCCGCGCGTCCGTCCGAAGCGGCTTTCGGTCGCGTTCCAACGGCCGGGCCATGTTTTTTGAGCGAAGCAAGGCTTCACCGGGCATCGCCCACCGTCCGCCTGGGGGGGGCGTTTATGCATCCCGCACCGAAGAGAGATGGAAACCAAGGGGCCATGACCGATGACGGACAAAGCGTGCCAGACGCGACCCTGGACCCTGCTAGTAGGGGCTGTACCCTCATATGGAGGGGTCCAGACCCAAACCAATCCCTATGGTTTTTCGACTCTCACTTCGGGTGAAAGCGCAAGCCATGAGGGCAACGGTTTTCGACTCATTGAGGAAGCACTGGATGTCTCCCTTCGGACGCCCACAGGTGAAGCTGCTCTTCTGGCGTCCGAGCATTCCGCAGGCGTCCTGCAAGTCCTGTGGAACCGCCTGGAACCGCGGGTGAAAGTCACTTTTGGGCCACAGAGCCTTCAGACGTTCATAGAGAAGACAGGTGTATCAAACAAGAGTCGGTCGGCTCATATCCTCTTTATTGTCGAGGACAGGACATGAGAGGAACATGTTTCATTCTGAGTGTTTGACAAGCCAAGTGCTCTCTATGCATCCTTCCTCACTGACACTGACAGGGTTTAAGGAACCAGCCCAGGACGCAGGAGATGGGCTATATCACTGTGGGGTGGGACGGAAACGCCGGTGTTTCATGAAGTGCATGGTATTTGAGCTCTTTGACGGGATGATCTTCCACCTTCTTTCCTTCTCCGGCCTCGGGTCGAACGTCGGTGTCCGCCGAACAGAGCCACTCCGGCCGTAGAGCCAAAAGGACTTCGGGACCGTCCAAATGTGGGCGGGCCGACCTCAAAACAGGATGGCTTGGTATATTTGAATAGACATCTCTTCATATACTTCTTGAAGATCCTAAAGATCCCATGATGATCCATGATCTTCATTGATCTCCAAACGTGGTGTCTCCAAACCTGCGGGCATTGCAATAGCGCCCACCGGGTCACTGGGTCAGCCGCCATCGGTGCAAGGCCGGCCTTGGTGATGGGCAGGGGAGACCACCGGGAAGTGAAGAAAGATCTAGGTACCAGGACCCTCCAAGGGGTGCCCAATGGAAGCCTATAGGTAGTGTGGGGTAGTCCAGCCAGGACACCCAAAATAGCAAGGTCGTACAAATCAAGACTCAAGGTACCTGGCACTGACTGCCCCCCTCAATGATTCCCAAATTCCCCAGGCACGGACATCAACGCAGCCAGAAAGACATGGCAGTGCCCCTCGTTCCATCGAACATGTTCACTTCCCAGGTGCCCGTGGTGTTGCGAGCTGAGTGGGGACAGCCGTGTCTGCTTTTTGAGAAGAGGGCACCAACTGTGAAGTTCTCCATCTGGGTACGGCATACCCGCAGGGTATGACGGAAAGAATCCATGCTGATTTTACAGTCCCTGAAAGAATCCACGGTATTCTGTACCAGCAGGTGGTGTTCACTCCACTTTCATGTGAGTGACTTGGAGTGCACGTCGAAAGGGACCCCCACTGACTTCTCACTGACTTAGGGACCCCCTCCAACAGGTGTTTTTTTTTTAGCCCCAGGGTGTGGATGGTGTTGGCAGCTCACGTCTTTGTCTTCTTTTGTGCTTGGCAGGCACCGATTCGGTTTGGAAAGGCTTCTATTGGTATGAGTTTTCAGTGTATGGAATGGTTTTTGGGGCAGGCAGATCAGACTCGGTGTGGCTTGCGGAATCAGCCAGACATGGGCGAAGCCCCGCTTCGTAGAAAGGGCGCGGTCGATGGGTTCAGACCGAAGAAGACGGGCGGGTGTCACGAAGTTCGTGAGGCCCATTTGAGGAGCCCGATTCAGACAGCCAAATAGATCAATTTCAATGCCCCATGAGTTTTTGGTCCACGCAACCAAGAACTTGAGTGACACCCCAAAAATTGGAGGATCATCTCTCCAAAAAACCGATGGCCTAAGGCCACCAAGACATGGGATTTCCCAACCTCTTTTCCTTTCTTCGGCTTCACCGAGCGCTGGCCGAACCGTCCGTCCGTGGACCGACGCCAGCCCAGAGGCCCGTGAAGAAGATTCACCACCCTCGCTTCGAGGGCGGCTGAAGCCCCAGGGCGGTCCGGGCGAGAGAATGGGAAGATCCATGGGGTCAACCTGAGTTGGCGGATAGGAAAGAGGAAGCAAAGCGATCTCTTCTTTTTGGTGGGTCTGGTTTTGTGGGTCTTTTGGAGGACGACGGATTCTTCATTGTCCAGACGGATTGAGGAATGTGTATGCGGATTTTCAGGAGAGCCAATGTGTTTGCACTCCTTGAGTCGAGTGACACAAGACTCACACTCGCACGTTCTATGTGCGATTCATAGGCGACACCTTCGAGAGTGCCAATGGTACTGTATATCCTGTACATGCAAAAGGGGGGAGTAACACCCGGCCCCTCAAAACCCATCCAAACGCCATGGTTTTTGCTGTAGGGACAACCCAGGTCTTGGATGGTTTGAGAGGCCGCCGGTCAGTCTCAGTTGGTCAATCAGCTTCGGGCGCGCAAGGGTGGGGGAATGAGTTCTTGTGGCTTGTGCAGACTTGCTGGGCATGGTTTTTGGGCTCGAGCGGCAGGCACCAGTGATCTTCTTAGGCTTTCAGCACCCAAAAATTGCCCCAAGACTTATGTCGAAGTCGATGTTCGAGTATGACTTGCTTGGGATGGATGCTTCCACACTCTCCCTCCCTCGCTCGGGTCGCAATAAGATCGTGGAGACGAACCTGGAGAAGCACCTCGCGCGCAGATGCCACCCCTGTGTGGCGTTTGCTATTCGCCCCACCGGATGCTTCAAAGGGGATGCCTGCTCCCACTGCCACTTCTGCACCGCGGAGGAGGCCAAGCAAAGGCGCCGAGAGATTCAGATCGAAGCCAAGGAGAGGAAGAAAGAGAAGAAGAACCTGATGCCAGTGGTCGTCTCGTCCACCTTCTGGATCTGAGGCAGGCGAGCGATGTTCTCTCTCTCTCTCGTCCGCCTGGTTGAGCAGGATCGATTCGATTTCGGAGAAAGACAGGATGTTCCGCACTGGTTTGAGAGTCATTTTTTGCGGGTGTTGTGTTTTTTTTATGTGATTCTGCTGTGGTGTGGCAAGAGGGTTTGGGCCGGCAAAGATGGAAGCTCAGGGTTTGAGGCAAGGCAGTTGCTCCGGCACATCCACCGAACGAAAGGCATTTTTGGGCGTGTACGAGTGTTGATGATTAAACATTATTTCAAGCACTTCCCTCTACAAAGGGGTGTTTGTGTTTTCAAAGGCAGTAACGGTTGTGAACTATCATGGTGGTGATGTTGGGAGGTGATGTTGCTGGATGTTTAGTTTAAGCATGATTAAATTAAACATTTTCTGCAGCAAATTTGACAGATTCCATCTTTTAGTATTTAGTAAATACCATTCGCCTGTGACTATATAGAAGTAGCTTCTTTTCTGTTTTCTTCTATTGCATCCATTTTCTAGACCAAGCCCTCGTGTACGGCTACTTGGATGGTCACATGCTTGCAACTAAGGCTATAACTTGCACAACAAGATTTATCAATCGGTTAAGACAAGCCGTAAGTTGTCTATGTAAACATATACACCTTAGATAAATTGTGGAACTTGTGTACTAGGTTGGCGAAGAGTTACATTTCTTGATGTAAAATGATTTGGATACTTATAACTTATAAGCATAGTTCTTAATTATAGCCAGCAGAAATAACATCGTTACACTAGTTACAAAGCTCCTCCTTTTTTGTGTGTGTGTTTCTTTTCCAACAGAGTTTTCTCGCAGACACATTGGCAAGGGTGTTGTCCCTGCTTGCACTACCGAGGTGGATCGTCCTTTTCCCGCTTTCCTTTTCTTTTCCTTTCCATGCCATCCAATACGGCAGAGTTGTCTGCAAATACCTGTTCCCGAAGCTCCTCTAGGATGTCAGGGTCCAGGCTGGCTTGGGATGGAACCGGTGCTTTTTTCTTTTTTCTTTTTTTTTTTTTCAGAGCCTCCGTGTTTTTCTCCAAAGAACTTACTTTCTATTTTTGTTATACTCAGCGCACTTGTACAGCTTATGATGTATATAAGTGGTATAAAGTAGCTTAATATCGTATCATACTTTAGTAAGTATAAGCATGCTATAGCTATAAGCATGGGACATCTAAGGAGCGATGTTGTAGCACTGTGCCCAGTTTTGGAGTGCAGAAAAAGGCTTCTGGGCCTAAAGTAGCGGATGCTGGGATGCAGGGATTCTGTGATGATTTTTAGCGTTTGTCCCGGTTGATCTAGAAAACACTAGAGGGTCACAGACACCTTGATGCCATGAGAACCCCCTGAGCTTGGAAGTCTCACACTGATGTGTCTTCAGAATTCGAGATCTGTCGTGTCGTGGAGGCCAGTCTCAGTCATGAAGCCAAACCTCAAGATGTTATATATACACTTTGTTAATCACTTCACTTCATCCACTCATCCACCTTTGTTGTTTTCAACTGTCCTTCGCAGTTCCCCCTTCGAATAGCTTTCTTTCAAT